GAAAGTATTAAGACTTTATTAGCAAAGAAGTATAAAAACTTCTTGTGAACATCTTTTTTGTATGTGGTCAAAGGATCAGTAGAAAGAGTTTTTTTTAAGGCATGTACTATTTTTATGCTTTAATTATAGTACTACAATCAATATAAATTATAATAATTGTATTTCAAAGGACTATATACAGTGTAGTAAGGATAACTAATATTTTGATCCTAGTTACAGAAGATTAAAGAATTAAAAATTAATAAAATTTAAACTTATAATAAAAATATAATAAGTAAAATTAAATCTTTAAAAACAATTGTATATATTATATATTAAAAAATTTAATATTTTAATTAAAGTAATTAATTATCTTTTGTATATTATTTAAAATTCTTTTTTCAAGCTTTTTTTATTTAAAAATATAAGTTTAATTATTTATAAAAATTATAACTATTTTATTTATTAAAATAATCAGTAAAATTAGAATCCATATTATTAGTTCAACTTTTATAACAATAATTATTTATTTATTTTGATTTAAAATTTACTTTATTTTTAGATTTTTTATTTAAATAAATAATATCTTTATATTTATTTTTTTTTAATTATAATTGAACAAAAATTTATTTAAATAAAATATTAAATTTTTTTTTATAATTTTATATTTTATTGAAATATTTTTACTAAATAATTTAATATTATAATTAAATTTAAATTTAATAGGTATATTTAAATAAAATTGTTTTTAAAAAAACTCTTTCCATTAATTCTCTGACTATGCATAAAAAAGATATTCACAAGAAGTTTTTTGCTTCTTTGTTAAAATGTCTTAAACACTTTTCTTAAAACTCCTTGAAGAGTGACTTTAAAAGTCATCTATATCCTCCCTTACTTATTTACAATCCTCTTTGACCAAAAACTTGACTTCTGATAATCAAGAACAAGTCAAGTAACATCTTTGATACTAACAGAAAAAAAGTTTCCAAAGGAAAAAGAACTAATAATAAAGTATATAAAGGTCTTCTTCACCTTTGAAGTGAAAGATATATAGAGATTTTTAATGACAGAAAGACTTATTTTTTCCCTTCCAGTTACTTGTGGACCTCTTAGAACTATCACTTTCATGGTTTTTTGAGGAATTTTATCTATTTCAACTTGATCCTGAAATTTCAGATAGCACAGATTTCATTAATTCTGATTGGTTAATACAATACATGTTGGACAAGATTAATAAACAAGCTTTAATTGATTACTTTACATGCCTAAATATATTTCCTTAGTTCTCTAAGAACCTGGAATTCACCATAAGTTATATGATCTAGTGTAGATGGATATAGAACATGTTATCAATATATAATTAGATATTAGAAAAAATCTATTTGACTATGGTAAAGGTTACAAGATGCTCAATTGATTTTTTTTCAAGTCAAAGTCACCTATATTCTTATTGTATGTCAAGTAGGTTTCAATCTTTACTATTTGAAAAAATCTAAATTTAAGAAAGCATAAAGCTATTATAAATACTCAGTAATAAAGCCTATATGTAAAGTAACCTAGTAAGTTTTTATCCTATCTTCAAAAAATTTCATACTGGAAGATTGGAAGGCAAATATTATTTCATTAATTGAAATTCAAGTTCAAAAATATTAACAATGATATGCAAGTCAACTAGAATATCTGGAAAATCCTAGTTGATTATTAATACTAATGACCACTAGCAGAATATGTTAACCATAAGACTAGATGCTATCCTTCTTATAAGGAATTAAATCTGAAATAAAATATATAGATAGATAATTATACTCATATTTAGATAGAAATGGATTTAATTGATAATATACTGGAAGATTTTCAAGTTGTTTATATGGATACCAATATATCACCTGGATCTTCCTGGTTACTTTCTCTCTATAAGCCTTAAAACTGTAAAATCTCTCTTGTTGACTTTCATCTTATCTTCAAAAAAACTCAGTAGAAGTTTCTTTTCTAGACCTTTTCACAGAAAAAACTAAAACAAAACAGGCATATGTCAAGAAACAGAACCAATATTTTCTTAAAATTGCATATGACTGTTCAATTTTTATTTTTTTTTATTCTTTATTTTTATTTTATAACACCAGCATGCTCTAAGGATACTGGTTTTTCTTGATAAAAGAAAGGACAATAAGTCTCAAAGTAACTTTAGAAATAACTTTAGCTTATCATTATCTTTATCAATTCCAAATATACACCCATACATCTATGCATTACCCAATGTACATATGTAATTTGGAAATCAATAAAGTTAGGTATGAGCACATCAAAAAAAAAAAAAAACAAAAGATTTTTTATATTTTAAAGTAATATAGTTTTTCAATTAATAATTTACAATGATAAGTTATAAAAAGTCGTGTAATATTAATTACTGTCTCAATAAAAATAAAAATATACCATGTGATCTGATTGTAATTTTTTTTTTAATCCAGTGAGACTAACGTGACTTGTTTTTATTGTATATATTATTTAAAGCATGATATTTCACTCCTTCACTGATTTAGATTAACCTTTAATCAGTGAACTCATTGCCAATTATTAATAATTGTTATGAAAAATATTTTTATAAATATAAATATCAGATTTTATGCGCAGTATATATAAAAAATATATAGTATGCAAAATAATGCATTTATTTGTAGGTAAAATCATCAAAATTTAAGAAACCGGAATATTTACAAATTTTATTATTCCCCTAAACTAAGTAACCTCAGTTCATTCTGTACCTGTTTGCCGGTGAGAGTTGGCGGATAAAGCGCAAGATTATGTTCAAATGGTTCTAATGGCTGCAATAAGTTATCACTTGCAATATGTAAAAAGAACGTTGATGATATCCTCCATAAAGGCCTCTTTGGTTCTGACCTCTTTGCATTCTCAATAGCTTTAAGCGTCGATTCTGTTACCACCACCTCATGATAACCAGCCTTCACTTTACCACCCGTCAACCACTCCAACTGTTTACCAGCTTGCACTAATAAGCATCCGTCAGGAACTCGAACTTGCATCTTGGTCGACCCATTACGCGGCCAAATATGTAACCCAGGAAATCGACTTTTACCGTGGATCGTCAAGAAATTTAGATCATAATGAAAACCCGCGAGAACAGTATTAAGTTTTCCATATTCGTTCAAATCACTTCCAGTAGGGGCCAAAAGGTGCGGTCCATTTTTCGTGAGATCCGGTAATTTATTAGCGGGTAATCCAAATCCAACCGAAACCATTTCAGTAACATCCAAAACAGCCCGATGCATCTGATTACCCCATTTATTCATAACGGTGAACCAGGTATCTTTAAACATTTCTGGGATGATTGGTTCACTATTAAGTTGAGGAAATTCAGTTTCCTTCGGTCTATCTCCAATACGCCAGAAAAATCTCCATTTTACATCGGGTCCAGTTATAGGAAGCGGTCGACTACCTTCAGGCATTTTGGCAATCATGTCCAGACATTTAGGGTCGCGATTACATATTGGCTCTTCCGTAAATCCGGGAGTCACACCCACTTGGTAAGAAAGGTCCGGACGTGCATCTTTGAGTTTTTTTTCATATGGTTGAGCAAAATAATCTTCCATCAAATTCAGAAATTGAGAATTATCTTCTTCTGTTACTCGTGGGTCCTTCAATAAGAGAGCACCATAGTCCACTAAGGCATTGGCGGCTTTTTTACATTCTTCGACCGCCAACGGATCATTTTTACCACGTAAATAAAGGCCAAGATCAATAATGGGAAGGATATCGGTCATTCTTACGGAAGAAGGGAAAGGAGGAAAAAAATACAGAACTTATTTCATAATCTGATCATACGATTTGAATTAATATTATAGAAACTTTGATTGCGTAATCAATATACGTAGCTAATGCGATTGTCACCTTTTTAAGCTTAATATATTTTCTTTTAGTCAAATTAAAATTAAAAATATATTTTTAAGAGGACCCGTGATAGATTCTAAATGCAATGCTTTTCGCATCTAATTACTTTTTGACTTTTTGACTAATAAGGTTTTAATATTATTAAAATGATTTGAAGGATATCTTTAAGAGTTATTGTTTTTTTTTTCTTATTTACGGTTCTTTTTTATTAAAAACTTGGGTTTATTTTGGTAATCGCAGGGTAACACTTTCAGGGGTGCCCCCCTGAATTCAAACCCTGCGATTCTAAAAATAACTCCATAATTTAATAAAAATATAAATATACAGGTTTTGATTTTAACTTATACAAAAATGGAATC